GTCCTTCATATTCGCCGACTTCGCCGTCATATTCACCAACGAGTCCGTCGTATTCACCGACCAGTCCCTCGTACTCTCCCACCAGTCCCTCCTATTCCCCGACCAGTCCATCGTATTCTCCGACTTCACCCTCTTATTCGCCGACCAGCCCTTCCTATTCGCCGAGCAGTCCATCGTATGCGCCGACGAGTCCCTCGTATTCTCCGACGTCTCCCTCGTATTCACCAACGAGTCCCTCATACTCGCCGACGAGTCCGTCATACAGTCCTTCGTCGCCGTCTTATTCACCGACGAGTCCGTCGTATTCGCCCGGCTCTCCGACATACAGCCCGTCGTCACCGAAGTACTCGCCGGCCAGTCCTTCGTACTCACCCACGAGTCCGTCGTACAGCCCGTCATCGCCTCGCTATACGCCGGCGTCGCCCAAGTATTCACCGACGAGTCCGCGCTATTCGCCGACGAGTCCGTCATATTCGCCGACGAGTCCCAACTATTCGGGCGCGAGTCCGGGCTATTCGCCCACATCTCCCAACTACTCGCCCAGTAGTCCCAAATACACGCCCACCAGTCCCTCCTACAGCCCATCGTCGCCCAAATACTCGCCCACGAGTCCCACTTATTCGCCAACGAGTCCTAATTACACGCCTACGAGCCCGACCTACTCGCCCACCAGTCCGCGGGCCTCACAGTATTCGCCGACTTCGCCCACTTATTCACCGACGAGTCCTACTTATTCGCCAACGAGTCCAACAGATAATGACGACAACGACAAACACTGATCGTAATGTCTGGAGAAGTCATACCAAAACAAACGAACAATTATTGTTTCAAAAAGTGTTTATTATTATTAGTATTATATGATTGTATTGAATCATTCAAATCGTGTACTTTAAAAGTACTCTCTTTATTGCATTTATGATTTCACTGATTATTTAGACATTCAAATGGATCTGATTTTAAGAAACGCTTTGAATGTGTTTTTTGCTCTCTTTTTTGTTTCATTATATATTTATTTCAATTTTTATGAAAATTGTCTGATTTTTTTGCTTCTGATTATATAACTGTATTTAATACTGATTTTATGACATTTATGTTCTAAGATTTAATTATAATAATAATAATGTTAATTGCATTTTAGGTATTGATTTAATAATAATAATCATAAGTATTGTATTTTGTTTTATAATAAATAAATAATAAATGATATATTTTAAGAAATTTAAATTTGTGTCAAAATATTTGTTTTAACAAAGTATAGAAAGTTTGATTGAATGATAGATTTTGTAATTAAATAATTTAATATTTAAGGACTATAGCAGGTATAGATGTATAGATTCTATTACTTTAATTTATCTCAAATTGAACGTTCAGATATTGCATTTAATATTAGGTGTGATTAAAATTAATTCTATTGTCACTTAATGTTTAAAACATTTAATATTTAAATTTATAACTGAATGTTTTATACTTATCATTTAGGATTATGCGATTTGTGAAATTAGTGTTAAGCAATTTAATAAAGTGCATATAAGTTAACGTTATAAATGTTTTACAATTTATTGGTTCGGGAAAGGTTTGCGAATAAAGGAAGAGTTGAAAAGTCATTAAAATTTTATAAACTTTGAATCTCTGTTTTAAACGTTCAATTGATACTTCACTTCAAATTACTTATCAGTTTTATATACTTTTGTGTTACAATTCTTTATTACAATTAACACAATATTTCTAAATATCTATAAATATAACATTCAAAGACTAGTCACTATGTGTTAGCCGAATATATGGTCAGTCAGTCAAACGTACTTTACGTAATCATTAGAAATGCCCGAACAGATCCAATACCTGCCGGTCAGTCATGTAATCTTTGATTTGGACGGTTTGCTCATCGATAGTGAAGTGTTGTTCGCCAATGCGATCGCTATACTATTGAAAAGATATGGTTTGTATTCAAATCTATATTAATTTTTGGTCAAGAAATACTGTATATGATTGCAATGTCTGTGCTATGAATACAGGTGTGAAAGAGTACAGTAAAGCTCTTCAGGAGAAGGTGTTGGGAATGGATGTCGACCTCAAAATACAGACAATTATTGCTGAAACTGGTATTCCGTTAACTGTTCCCAAATTTCTTGTAATTCAGAGGAATATATACGAAGATTCCATGAGTAATGTGTCGCTTATGCCGGGAGCGGAGAGACTGATAGCACATTTGCGCCGACACAACATCCCGATGGCAATTGCCACCGGATCTACACTCGAGTCCTTTCGCATTAAGACATCTAAATATCAACAGTTGTTTAAAATTGGAGACAACTTTCAGCACATTGTCTTCACGCGAGACGACCCGGAGGTGAGCGCTCCCAAACCGGCGCCAGATGTTTATCTGGTGGCCGCCCAACGATTCAAACCATCGGCTGAACCCCATAAATGTTTAGTGTTTGAAGACACCAAAACGGGTGTTGACGGTGCGATCAGTGCTGGCATGCAGTGCGTTATGGTTCCCGATTATAGATTTCAATGCATTCAACAAAATGCTACACAAATTATTAAAACTCTTCTCGATTTTAAGCCCGAATTGTATGGTTTGCCTCCATTTGAAGATTGATTTAATGAATTATTGCTACTTTTGTATTCATATTTTATTATATAAAATTTATATTGTTAAAACATATTAGTAGTGAAATGTTATTAAACATCAATTATATAAACATCAATTTTTTAAATAAATTTTAATAATATTGTATTCTGTCTTTCATTTACACATATCTTTAATAAAATTTATATTTATTAAAATCTTACTAAAATAATTTCAGACATTATGTAATCAATTCTTGATTAGATTATACTGTAGAAGATTCTGGTGTATGACGTTTTAAAATTTTACACATTTATAATAGCATTAATATGCCCTATGTCATTTTTACACATTTGGTTACACTATGTTTTAGTATACAGCAGATTTCATATTTTAGATAGAATTATTAAATTGGTTTTATTATTTAAGTTTAGATATAGGCACCAGAAACCAGAAATTTGTTTAAATTTATCAGTCGGTATAAAAAATTAAAAATTTTACAATTATAGTTAGTTTTTCATTACGTTTTCATTGCAAGATTTTATAAATATAAATCATTTACTACATTTAAAAACTTATTTTGTGCTATATTTGAAATAAATTTAAATGTTTTTAAAAAAATTTAATTAGAAATTTGGGTTAAGTTTAGTTTAAAAATTTAGTTTAAAAATAAAGGATTGTTTTGTAATTACTGTATTAAATTATATTGTTTTATGAACTTATTTTTATATTAAAAAAGCTATATTAAATAAAAACTAAATTACATAACAATTGTCTAAAATTATTCTGTGTTATGAAACATACGTATGTTTTAGCAGTTATATAAGAGATATTTAATTTTAGACACAATACAGTACTTTAATTGCTATTTACGGCATATGTTATTCATATCTAACTCAAATCATAACTCTGTGTAAATAGAAATTAATTAATTTAATCTAAATTCTTGTGTAAAAAATTGAAAACATATTACAAAATAATTGTCAATTTTTAACCACAATTAATATATTAAAAATGTGGTTTATAGGATTGTTCGGCCCCCCTTTCTCTCTTTAGCATTGGTGTGTGAACCTTGTTTAATAATTTGTAGTATTTAATAATTTACTGATAGCACAGGTATAAATGCAGTCACTTTAATTGCAATTATCTAATATTGCTCTCAATATTGCGTTCACTTTTCACTGAATCGTAATTCAAATTTCAAAATCACCTCATATTTAAACTTTTATTTGTTTGTTTGCTAAATGAACTCATGTTTTGTCAGTCCATTTAATCAATTTTTCAAAATATTTGTTTATTAGTTATCTGTTTATAATATGTTTGGGTTATTCATAATCCCTATAACTTATAAAAACATAAATAATTTTAATATTTCAATTGAGTTCCGCATTACCAGCATATATCTGGTCCGACACTTTAGCGCACCGGCAGTTACCGGTGGTTATGCCCATACGTATTGACCTCATATTTAACGTAATAAAGTTATTAATATACGTTTAATGTAGATATTGTAGTGATATGTATGACGTTTTTAACAGTATTGAAAATGTCATAAATTGCTCAAAGAGTTTCCCAAAAAACAATAATAAAAATTCTGTAATACACGACAAAATTCATTGAAATCATAATTGAAATACTTGTTATATTTTGCGGTTAAATATTTCAACAATTTTCTTATTTTTTAACATTAATATTACTCTTATTTCAATCCAAACAACTTTCTGTTGAATTATTATCTCTATAACTATATTATTTTTCAATTAATATCTAAAACTAATAATTAATTTATTGATTGCAATTCAATGCAAACGTTTGTCTTAAAAGTCGCGGATTTATGTGTGAAATGAATATTTCAAAAAAATGAAGACAAAAAATTATATCTGTTATCGAAGGTCTTGTCATAACATACAAAACCTTTTGAATTGAATACATATCGACTGAAATCAAGACATTCAGGCGCTTATTGAATACCAGTGCAAAAGTCATACCAAAAAAAGTTTTGTCAATTGGAAAATACTGTTATTCAGTGATAAAAAGTTTGATAACTATTAAAGATCTGTTTTTCACAATAACTGTTAACTTCGAAAAGTGAACGAAAAATTTTATTTCCAATCAATTGACTATTAGTTAATCGTTGAATATTTGCGATAAATATTTAGTTGATATTTCATATCATTTCTCAAACATAACTTATATTTTCTTCGATTCACTATTAAATCGAAGGACAACTGATTTTTATTGGATGAAAGACACGGATAGTGTAGTGTTGTATGCGATCACTACATCATCAGATCATCTCCTGGTGTGACACAGACTTTAGTTGAAAAACTTTTTTCTCATAAATTTATCACTCGTTTGAGTGTTTGAAATATTTCTATTTCATTAGTGATTGTGTGCTTTTAGTTACAATAAACATCAAGCTGTTTTAAATTTTTATAATAATTAATTGTATTTTTGGTCAAAATCTATCTTCAAAATGCCAGAACAGATCCAATACCTGCCGGTCAGTCATGTAATCTTTGATTTGGACGGTTTGCTCATCGATAGTGAGGTGTTGTTCGCCAATGCGATCGCTATATTACTCAAAAGATATGGTTTGTATTCAAATATGAATATTAATTTTTGATCATAAAAAATATATGATTGCAATGTCTGTGCTATGAATACAGGTGTGAAAGAGTACAGTATAGCTCTTCAGGAGAAGGTGTTGGGTATGGAAGTGGAGCGCGGAATACAAGTGATTATCGACGAGACGGGTATTCCTGTAACTGTTCCTCAATTCCGAGTACTCGAGCGAGAGATATACGAGGAGTCGATGGCCAACGTATCGCTTATGCCGGGGGCGGAGAGACTGATAGGACATCTGCGCCGACACAACATCCCGATGGCAATCGGCACCGGATCCACACTCGAGTCCTTTCGCATTAAGACATCTAAATATCAACAGTTGTTTAAAATTGGAGACAACTTTCAGCACATTGTCTTCACGCGAGACGACCCGGAGGTGAGCGCTCCCAAACCGGCACCCGATGTCTATCTTATCGCCGCCCGTCGTTTCAAACCGTCCGTTGAGCCCAATAAATGTCTGGTGTTTGAAGACTCCGGACTCGGTGTTGACGGTGCGATCAGCGCTGGCATGCAGTGCATTATGGTTCCCGACCA